ATATATATATATATTCTTTCAAGAGGTCACCCTGAGAATTTAATAAACATCAACAAGTTGTATAATGATAAAGGTTACTTGTTGAACAACTCTAAACCCATTTAGTGTTTGTTCTCATTTTCTTCTTAATTTTCTCAGTTGATCAATATTCATATTATTTTTAAGACTTAAGTGCAATTTACTCTTTCTTTTTCACTCTTCAAAAAACTTTAGCAAGTGTATTCTCTCTTGCCACCTAAGCTTCAAGTTAGTTTTATCAATGCCAGGTACACCTAATAAATCTAATTATTACAAAATTAATTTTTTACCATAATGTGCAATAAGATTGAAATATATTACCTAGTAATATCTAATTGATGATGAAAACATTACTGATAACTATAATTTCTAGGCAACCATATTAATTTATTTGGGTTAGCCCACAATTAAATTGGAAGTAACCTTGCCCAGTTTTAAATTATTTAATCGAAGATATAATATCCATTATTGAGAAATATTTTTAGTAAGGATGGAAATGCATCATATAGTTTTAAATAGTTATTTATACATTCATTTGAGAAGACTTTTTCTATTCTCAAGGTAACTTTAATCACATTAGAAATGTTTCTAAGAGATTTTGCTTGTCTTAACTTTTAATATATTTACTTTTTATGAGATAATGAGCAAGTAATAGTGATGCAATCATCATATGATATATCCACTGATTATTTACTTAAAAAAAAAGTTTTCTCTGCTTACTTGAAAACACTTACCAATCATTTTCACAAATTATAGATTTACACTATAATTACCTCTAAGCATACAAAATTTTTACCCTCTATCGATAAAAATAATAAGTTCCCATTTAACTATTATTTGTAACATTGATAATGTTGACCATCAATATATGTTCCAAGCAACTCATAAGGATATGCAGACTCATATCTTCTATATATGATATTTTTATTCTCTTAATAATAATATTGGATGTGCCACACACATTAATGATGATTGAGTTGCCTAGATACACATAAGAAATTAGATGATTATTGTTTGTTGTCTAAAATTATCATATTGTCTCAATAATAGCATCAGTTGCACTACATAAAATAGGTGATCATATTGCACATTAACACTCGAAGGCCAGACAACTCCCTTCACCAATTAATGCTCTTTAAACTATCAAATAATAACTTTAGACATTTTTCTCATGATGTCAGTAACTAAGTGACCTTTTGCTGATGATATTCTTCTCGTGGATAAAACGAGAGAAAAAGCCCAGGAAAAACTTGAATTATGGAGGTCTACATTGGACAATATGTCAAACAACGCAATTCATGTCAAAGCTACTACAAAACCCTATCATTTGCATTATTTAAGGACATCCTCAATCATATTATTGCATGCTTTGATGAAATTTATAAACTTTACGTGGGAGGTCAAACATGTTGCTTCTGGGCTAATTTCTTAAAAAATGATTTGTTTGAATCTCTCTAACTTCTTGATTGTGGACTATTCTTATATTTTTTTATATAAAATGAAAGGCCTTTATATTTCATGACGTGTGATTCACTTCCCCATAATGCATGAGATCTAATAGGAAAAGCCAATCAACCCTTCCTCTCCCAACTTGATTTTTCGCAAGTAACAATTATCTTTATCAATTTCATAAATTAAAAAGATGCATGGCAGAACTTTTAAGTGTTAAGTAGAATAAAATTTAATTGGCAATCCTTTGCACGTATACAAATTTTATGATGTTTTAGCAAACCTAAATTACATCTTCTAAGAAATTTTTTTCTTAAAAGTCGTGGAGCAAAAGTTATTGATTTACTACAGGCAAAATGCAACACACACTAAATAAAATATAGGGAATCCTGCATCCAGAGATACAACCCATGCAAAGGAATTCCAAAATAATCATACCAAAAAGAGATAAGCAAAGACCCGCCAAAACACCGGCCGCCAAAACACTGACAAAATGCCGCCAAAGATTGATGCAAGAACCTGCAAGAAGCCAAGAACAAGCTGAAACAAACCCCGCACTAAAGCAAAAAATATTACCTGAAGGAGTGGCGCTTTAATATGTCAAACAACACAATTCATGTCAAAGCTACTACAAAACCCTATTATTTGCATTATTTAAGGACATCCTCAATCTATTATTGCATGCTTCGATGAAATTTATAAACTTTACGTGGGAGGTCAAACATGTTGCTTCTGGGCTAATTTCTTAAAAAATGATTTGTTTGAATCTCTCTAACTTCTTGATTGTGGACTATTCTTATATTTTTTTATATAAAATAAAAGGCCTTTATATTTCATGACGCATGATTCACTTCCCCATAATTTTTTAATATAAAATGCATATGTGATTGTTATCTACTTAAATAATTGTATGCATGAGATCTAATAGGAAAAGCCAATCAACCCTTCCTCTCCCAACTTGATTTTTCGCAAGTAACAATTATCTTTATCAATTTCATAAATTAAAAAGATGCATGGCAGAACTTTTAAGTGTTAAGTAGAATAAAATTTAATTGGCAATCCTTTGCACGTATACAAACTTTATGATGTTTTAGCAAACCTAAATTACATCATCTAAGAAATTTTTTTTCTTAAAAACCGTGGAGCGAAAGTTATTGATCCAAAACAAAGAGTAAAAAGATCGATAGAAGTATTTTTACTACAGGCAAAATGCAACACACACTAAATAAAATATAGTGAATCCTGCAATATAGGGAATCCTGCATCCAGAGATACAACCCATGCAAAGGAATTCCAAAATAATCATACCAAAAAGAGATAAGCAAAGACCCGCCAAAACACCGCCAAAACACCGACAAAATGCCGCCAAAAATTGATGCAAGAACCTGCAAGAAGCCAAGAAAAAGTTGAAACAAACCCCGCACTAAAGCAAAAAATATTACCTGAAGGAGTGGCGCTTGCCATTAAGGATAAACAAGAAATAGCATACCATAAGATATCCCAGGAGAGTATTTTGCAACCAAAAGGGGGCAAAAAACTGTCCCAATGATACTAAAATTTGCAACTAAAAGTATAAGGAGATCACGTAACAAAGCTTAAAGAGCAAAAACACAAAGCCATATCACCAAAAGGATAAAACCGTAAAGAATGCCACGGAACCCACATATAATGAAAAAAAAGGAAGAACCAACCCATACCAACTTAAAATGCAGCTAAAAGCACCCAAGGACAACAAAAAGTACAAAAAATCCCACAAACCAAGGAAAGGCCAGCCCGACATAGGCCATAACGCCAACCATAGGGAAGGGACAGGGAAGCACGCCAACACAGAGATGACAAACCATCATTACAGTCAAAAAACAACCAGTCAAGCCAGAAAGAA